TGATGATGATGATGATGATGATGATGATGATGATGATGATGATGATGATGATGTTGATCCTAATACCGTTTTTATTGTTATTTGTATTGCCGTTGTTGTTGCTGTTGTTGTAGCTGTTGCTGCTGTTGTTATTATAATTATTTTGTTGGCATTGTTGTTGTTGCTAACCTTGTTAATATTGTCAATAATTCTGCTATCGATGTTGCTGTAAATGTCTTTTATGTTCTTGCTAGGGTTTTTTTCTTTTGTCTTTGTTAGCTTTGTATCGCTAATGTCTGAGTCGGGGGATTTGTGCTTTTTGGAGTAAAAGCTTGTAATTTTTGTTCTTTACAATTATAGGATTGGAGAGGTATTTTTCAGTAGGGGTTTTATACTTTTGCGTGAAAGTTGTAACGGCGGTAAGGGGGTGGAAGAGAGAATGGAATTGTGTGTGTGTTGTTGTTGTTGTTGTTGTTGTTGTTGTTGTTGTTGTTGTTGTTGTTGTTGTTGTTGTTGCTGTAGTTTCTGTTGTTGTTGTTTTTTGTTGTTGTTGTTGTTGTTGTTGCTGTTGCTGTTGCTGTGTTGTTTTTGTTGTTCTTCTTCTTGTTGTTGTTGATGATAGTGATGGAGGTGGTGGTGATGTTATAATTGTTGTTACATGTACTGTTGTTGTTGTTGTTGTTGCTGTCTTCTTGGGGAGGGTGGATGTTTGCCATTGTTTGTTTGGGGTTTCTTAATGAGAAGCGTGGCGAGAAAAAAACGAATTCTTCTACTATCAACTGTTAAATGTCTCATCTTTTTAGAAGAAGATACTTTTGACTGACCGTGCTTCTAATAATGCATTTTTTTAAAATAACTGTACGTATTTCTAAAGGAAACGAAAGCCAGCAACTCAAATCCTTACCGAACAAAAAGTCGAAACCTTTTCAGAAAGGCGATGGATTCACACAAGCACAAAGTACACGCCCGCTAACACAGAGAAACATCACGCCAGGATAATGGTTCCCTCACAAGTGACAGTCAGAACAGCGCGGCAACTTGGTGAGCAAGCTGTGGCCATCGGCACCCGTCGCTGGCGAGCACAAGAGGCGAGTAATCCTTTTGCTCGTATGAACGAGGTGTGAGCACAGCGCATCAAATTGTGATGGGGATCAAATGAAATCCCCAGATTTGTCCGAGTAGGATTTTTGTGTGCTTGGGCGGGTACTCTGCAGGAATCTGACGATGTTTTTTATCCGCGACTTTGTTGAGTCTTTTTTGTGTACTTTTGTGCGTGTTTGAGTGTGCGTGTGTGCGTGTGTGCATGTGTGTGTATTTGTGTGCGTATGTGTGCGCGCGCCTGTGTTAAGTATGTGTGATATACCACTGATCTAGGTAGGCTACATACAATCTTTTAGCACAGGATGCGTGGAGATCTACAAAGAAGACTTGACGTTGTGAAATTTGATTGATTTAATACACTAAAATCATTAACTTAATCACCTGTTAATCACCAGGTGTAAAAATATAGAACTATAGGCAAACTCTACCAGAGTAGATCTACTGTGTTCATGAACAGCACGGTGTCCTTGAAAAAATGTAGCTAGCAGCTTACTAGTTGCTCAGTCCAACAAGGTTACTGTGGCATGATCCGCTGGCTACTTGCCTTACAGAAACACTTGACTATATAATGTCGAACTGACGTATTCCCAACAGTGTACTTGGCCATCTGTCTCTGACCTCTGACCTCGCTCTTTTAAATCTGAACACTACGTTCTCGTACCAGTAGCAGATATAATGTTACCTTAGAATTACATTTGTACAAAGTTCTATCTGCTCAATACTTAGTTTTCAGAAATTTGAGGTCACATAATTTTAGTTCCAATGTCAAGCTTTTTCGAATGTAATTCTTTGAATATTTTGATAACGATTCCACATAATACAAGTCATGTATTATGATTTTGATAGACCAGATAGAACATTTGCTTTCTGACCTCATGGTCTTGTAACTGAAAACGGCCAAAATTGTCAGGAACTTCGTAGCTCTAGCGTAGCCATATTTCTGAGCCATATCGTCCAGGAGATGAAACGTAGATCCGTCATGTCACAACCAAGTCCAAGCAGCAGTCGAAACAGTGTGAAAGTGGAAGATTCGCCTGTATTGTAAAATTCAAGCGAACTCTCTTTCTCTCTCTTAAAAAAAAAGATTATAACGCCCAGTGTTCTGGGATAATAATAATAATAATAATAATAGATAGCATTTGTATAGCGCATATCCCCGCTCAGCAGCAGGCTCTATGCGCTTTACACTATATTAGATAGACTTTGAATGAATACTGTTGCTTGATTTCATGCTAAATATAGCAACAGTTCATTCTGACGTTTATTGCAGCATCCCAGGAAACTGCGCAAAAAAAATAATTCAAAACAAAAGACGCAGAATACTGAGTTCTGGCACTCTTTTGCTTCATGTCATGACAGTGCAAAGCCGTACATGTCTGCTTAGACCAGGAATCTTATTTTTAAATTCGGACGGGAACAA